CCCCAAAACCCCAAAACCCCAAAACCCCAAAACCCCAAAACCCCAATCTAAGTCTGAATTGTTGATAAATTATTAAAATTAACTTACCCTTCTGTATAATGGAAAAAGCAAGCAATTTGCAAGTCAAAACAACTAGAAAGACAAGAAAAATATCTTTTAATGCTCCTAATAAGCACAACAGCAGCAAGAATGTTAGGAAGAGAGGAGTTTCATGGGCAAGAGATTTATGAGAAGTCAAAGAGATTGATGATTATATGAGCCAAAGGAAAGTACCTTCCTCTAAGGGATCTGAAAGCAACATATCATCTCACAACTCAGAGGGACTACCAAAGAGTATTTTAAAGAAATAAAGATTGAGCTTCAAATCCATTGAACATGAAACACAAAAGATCATCAAGATTTAAAGAACCAGATCTGCATCCAAGAAAAGCAAAGAGTAAATTCTACCAAAGAAGCTCTCGTGGAAAGCCACCCAAAGGAGGCGGTATTAAATTAGGTAGGTTTACACTTTATTGGTTTGTCGACATTTTAGATTCTAAAGCTATCTCTTAAGGGCTGAGGTTAATTTTTCTCTCACCAATTATAAGGTTCTAAACTTGATGGTTATATTTTATCGAATGTGATTATTAACCTTCAAATCTAATTATCAATATAGTGAAAGCACAAAGAAAAACTTCAGTAGAACCCAAACGTAAGACTAGAAAACCAAAGAAAGGGTTTAAAAGCTCTGATGCCTTAATCATCGATGGTAAGTTTCACCTCTCATTTTGCTGTTATGCTTTAAGTAAAAGTGTTTATAACATGACTTGGTGACTTCAAAAATCTGTTCTAAAGCTTCCTTAAAGGTGAACTCGATGATTATAATAATGAAAGTACCCAAAGCGTATCAGATGATGAAGACACAAACCCAAAAGAGGTAAGTTGTACTGGTCTGACATCTTTAGGAAAGCAAGAAGAAAGTAGATGAGCTGTTTATGAATGCTTCGAGTAAATCTAAAAACATTTTGGAGATGATCTTCAAAACAGATTACACCTCAAAGCCTACCTCAAAGACACCAAAACTTAAAAAGGGGTTTAAATTAGATGCTGATCATGTGGAGGAAAGACAGAAGAAATATTTCAAAGCATAAAATTATTTAGAATTGATCGAGAATGAGGGAAATATGAAACCTTGTATTTCTAGAAACCATGATATCATGATTTCTAGCTGTGCATGCCATGGATAAGATTTCCTAGCATATTAATTTGATTATTTCCCAGTTAGAAATTATATTTCAACAGTTCAATTATGTTAAGTTCTTTAGGGGTTTTGGGGTTTTGGGGTTTTGGGGTTTTGGGGTTTTGGGG